TGGGAAAATTCTACTACCAGTCCTTCATCACCTTACACGAAATAGGGTGAATACATCTCATTACAATTAAGTTTAAGTATATTCTTTCTTATATCCAGTTTTCGCGCCATGTTAGGCTACTTCTAATAATTGAATCCAACAGCATCTAAAAGTCTCTTTATGTATGTAGGTGATCATCTTAAGGACTACGCCAATTGAAAGCTGGATCTGAGGGCTCACCACCATCTTCTGGTGAGATAGTCCTACCAGAATCTATACCACATACTTTCCCTCAAAATGGCTCTTGAGACTCAGATGTACTTCGTGTGTGCAAAGTAAATAGAGCCAGTGCACTGCAAAGCGCTCCTTCTGGTGCACACTCAGGACCTCGAAGTCTATTAGCCCACCCGTTGTCTGCTCGACCTGCTGGATTTCAGTGCTTATTCATACCAAACTAGGCATTCCATTAATCAGCATATTTTCAAACCATATCAGCAATGGCTCTGCATGGGTCAGTCTGCCAGGGGGGCCTCGATGGTAAGGAAGAGGAGAGGATGAAGAGCTACAAACCGATAATACATGGGGGAGGTAGATCGAGTCCAGGCCTAACAGTCAGAACAATCTGGGCCAAATACTCCAGGCCGGGAGGCGACAGACACAAAACGCGGGCCGTCAGAAGCTCGGAGTGGCTGGCATTCCCTATCACTGATAAAATGGCTAATAATTCCTGCATTCAATCTATCTGTTGCTGCCTCGCACAGCCCCAGTACACCCCAAACGACTAGCCCTTATCTCCAAACATATCTTCCACATCTCTGTTGCTACTCGAGCGGTCAGGGTCTTAAGGCCAGGCTTTGGGAATTACTTAAGGTTGGTGTAATCAACAGAGAAATTGGATTCGCTTTTAGACGGGACGCTAGGGCCCCATCAATTTACGACCTTCCAAAGATACGTAAAATGAAGTAACCTAAAGAAAGATGGTTAACAATGAAGGAAGGATGATGCTTGCCATATCCGGATTATTAAGCAGACAATTAAGGAAAGCATCTGAATATTAGAAATAACCAGTAAAAAATCCAAATTAATTCGTTGAATCGGTGGATCAGCAAGGAGTAAAAGAAAAAAACATTTTTGTATGTTCCACTGTGAAAAATATTCCAGTTCAGGAGGCTGTCTAAGCACCAGCAAAGTCTAGAAGAGCAATCGGATATTATTGTGAAGTACAACTAAGAAAGAGCTCAATCTTAAGACTACCTAATCTATCCTTGAGTAGCACATACTTCACCTTTGACGATAGATTTTATGAATAGGTACAAGGACATGCAATAGGCTTTTGTTTGGCTCCCAGTTTAGCTATGAAATTGCGTACCAGAAGTGGAGGAAAATTTCATGAAAGAGGTAAGGTTGACCCCAAGACATATGGATATTACTTTGCAATATGACCTCATTATAAGGATATAGTAGATAATTTCTTGTTATTACTTAACCAGAAAGATATTAATGTTGATTTCCCAATAAAAGTAAAAAATGATAATTATTTATCCTTTTTGGACGTTTTACTTATCAGTGAAGGAAGGAAGTTGGACAGGTGTGCTCATAGCAAGTCATAATAAGCTGGAATTATCCTTAACTTCTTTTGCAGCCATACTTACGAAACGAAGATTGGTACATCAAAATCAATTATTATTAGTTTCATAAGCTTAGCAGGTAGATAACATCGTAATAACCAGCTTGAAGGGCTCAAACTGATATGGCTAGAGAATACTTATTAGCTATACTTAATTGAAAATAACATCAGATTAATAAAAAATGTTAAAATAACCTTCTTTTTCAGCTCCTCTTTTCTCAAGTCCTGGCTTTGCCTTCGTGTGTTCTTTCTAAAAAGATAGGCGAATTAGTAAGGAAGTAGGAAATAAAAACAGCTTTTAAGGAAACTATGACACTTTCTCCAATTACACTTACGCTTTAGAGAAATTTTACCCATCCTCCTGACCAGGTTGCTAGAAAACAATGCCTTCATTTCGTCAACTTTGTGTTAAAAGGCCTGTAATCCCATTCAACAAAGGGTGGCTGGGCAAATAAGTGTCTATAGATATTAATAATTTCAACGATCCAAGATAGCGGAATGCATCGCAGAAATTGGA